ACCAATACAAAATATTGTGTCACATATGACATATCATTTAGTGGTTCATATATTGTGGTATGTATTGATATAGAATAAGTAGTATCATTCTAGCCCTAGACCTTACCTGGGCCAAATTTATATTTTCATGTCCCGCTTTGAAGAAGGGAAGGCATATTGCTTTGCTGCTGTCTGTAGAGGTCTTTCTATCTGTCGGTCCACCATCAATTTCCGTTCATTTTCTTTGCAGAGGTTGCACATATTGAAATGAAATTTTGTATACAGATTTATCATAACAATATCTAGGCCAAGTTATATTTTGGGTTGGATCGGGACATTTTGGACAGAGTTATGCCCCTTGGACTTAGAAAAAATCAAATTATTTGCAGTTTCTGTTCATATTCTTTGCAGAGGTTACACATATTGAAATGAAATTTGGTATTCAGCTTTATCATAAGAATATCTAGGTCAAGTACTGGGTACAATCGAGCCATTTTGGATAGAGTTATGCCCCTTGGACTTAGAAAAATTCCAATTATATGTGGGATGTGGGCATAAGTGTTTTCAACCATCTCTTGTTTATATCAATGATTGCATCTATATTTTCTTGATCTTTGAATGACTCTGATAATGAAGTAGCTTATTGGATATTTATTTGGTCGTAGACTTTATTTTTATACTTTTCCTTTCAGATTTGCATGATATCTATATAATGGGAGAAGCTGCATCAGCCTCATCCAACAGTGCACAGTACTCACAGCTTCAATTGTCAGGTAAGGGTCAGAATGGGCCAGATAGAAACTGTATTGTCCCATGTCCTTTACAAAGTAAGATTTTTATGAAGCAATTTATTGGACAAGTGGGTTTGAGGGGATGGAAATATAAGTTGTTGTATACTTTTAAACTTTTTACAAAAAATGATATATATCCATCCTAATAGAAGTCTTAGGAGTGTATTTCTTTTCACAAAAATTCTTAAGAGACTTTTAAGTGTCAAGTTGTAATAACTTTACAAGGCCCAATCCTCTTGTAAGTATTTTAAACCTGATTTCATATAAAGTATCGTTGATAAAATCAAAATACAGGTAAACTTCGGTATCTCGACATTGGATATGTTGACAACCTGGGATATGTCGACGTCCGTCCACGGTCCCAGCATTATTTACTATATAAATGATTTGCAAAAACTCTGATATGTCGACCTCGGTAATGTCGACTACCCCTCTTATCTCGACGTATTTCAAAGTCCCAAGAGCAAAATTTACCTGGTATATGTCGACATCGGTGCAATTTTCTGCTCTACTTAACCTAATGAATTGTTTGTCAGCTAGTCGCTCATCATGCACGGACGACTCCGTGTATCTCGACGTCGTCAGAAATTCACACCTTTCACACCCAGGCATGCTCTGTAAAAATGTGTTTGAAGAGGAATCTCAAGCCCCCTCGGTGTCTCTAATATGTTAATTGTTTAATGTTCAGCTTGGGTAATTATCATTGATAAATCTTCTCAATTCTGCCTAAATGTACAACCGTTTATTTGTGTCGAAATCTAACAAAGCTTAAACATTTTAAAAAAAAAAGTAACTAAATAACAATGAACAATATATACATTGAATTCAATTAAACTTAAAAATTGTGGTAAAAATGCATTCAACATGAATCAATTAAACTTACGATATGCATGACTATATTGCATCAGCCGTAATATGGATCATTAAGTTTGTTAAATGTGCAATTCCAATTAAGTTTTGGTTTGAAAATGAAATGAAAATGAATGATGAATGATTATGAAATAAAAAAAAAAAAGTGAAATGAAATAATTTTAAAAAAATAAATATACGCATTAATTTTTTTTCCGTATCTCGGAAGTCGATTTTGTACGGTTCCGGTTTGTACTTTATAAAGCGCATTTCGTATCCTGTTCTGACATAGCTATTGGCACATGGATCGAATGCTGGATGGAAAACGGTTTTTAATAAAATGAGATTTCGATAAAAAAAGAAAGCATTTTATAAATAACATTTGTGAATAACTTCTTAGATTTTCTAATAAATGTAGAGGGATAGCTGAAGCAAACGAGCTACAGTCTAATTGAAGACATATAGGTACCTGTAGTTACACGTCTGTTCAGTTTAGCTCATTGGTTTTACTATGCAGTAAAATTAAGGACGTCAAGTCTCAACTCTGATATCTCGACACCTTGGATATCTTGACATTTTCCGACTGTCCCATCGATGTCGAGATAACAAAGTTTACCTGTACGTGTTTACTTGAGAATTTTAATGCAATCTACGAGTATAATACTAAGTAGTATATATATTTTTCCACAAGTTAATATGGTTGGAAATTTGAAGGAAATATACTTCTAAATATTTATGATAGCAGTTTCACTTAAGATTTTCTTACTATACACTTTTACACCAGACTTGTGATTATGATGTCAAATTTCAGACTTTGTTTTTTGAGGCTGTTCAAAGATCCCTTTCCCAATTCAGAAGCATTACCTATTTTTCCAATTGAATATGTTTATTTTCATTTCCTCAAGAATTAAAAGCACATATAGTAGATATATAATCATGATAATAACTAAAAACTTGTTTTTCAATATACCTCTGAATAGAAAAAGAGATTTAATTGTTCGCAAACACCAGGGATCCACTGTATACTGATTTTCATAAATTCTCTAAATATTATGAATTTTCACAATATTATTGGCGTTGGTTTTATTCCCTAAAAATGGTTTGAGAACTTTGCAATGGGAGTGATAATGAGAGTAAAAGAGAGTGTGTTCCTGCTCTCTTGATCTGTAGTGGTAATGAAAAAGAGAGGGAGGGTGATATAATTTGGGCAATATTGTACTTACTTGATTTCCAAACCAAAAAAAATAACACTTGTTATTTTTTAATATCAATCTAATTTTTTTATTGAGGATTATTTCAATCATTCAATGAGGCAGGCATCAATTCCAATTAAAACATTGACAAACAGATGTGACAAATGTTCCTGATTGGTCCAGTCAAATATGAAAATTCATATTAGCTTGTAAGCTTATAAATGTATATTATAATTTACTAGAATCTGACTATGATTATATATTGTCCAATCTTATTATTTGGATCTAGAGGGGGGGAGGAGAACACCTTAGATTAAGTACCAATAGTTGTTACTTGTATGGGTAAGAGAACTATAGACTAATACATGTAGTATTGATAGATACACGTGTACAGAAATAACAACATAGTAAACAGTACCTCCTCAGTCTTATAACTGACACCAGGAAGATAAGGAAGTCAGTCTGCCTCCAAGGTTAACAGCATTGTTATAACACCCAGGTAACCAGGAAGTACAGGACTCCAGAATATTTTACTCAGAACTAAACAGGATGTTACAGGTGTAAAAGGAATCGGACATTCATATAATAATGACCAACACTAGACTTTTGTCAAGTGCTTTGTGTGTGTATTATATACTGCCTTATAAAAAAAAAGATAGAAGATTGTTAATTTATTCATTCCTATCCATATATATTTTTCATTGACAAGAATTTTTGCCTTCATGTAACCCAATTAAGTGTGTGGGTGGATGAATGGGGGGGGGGGTTTGTATGGATGAATTTCCTCTTTGAATTTTCAACCAGATGTCACTATTTTCCCAACTTGAACATGTTGAAATGTCCAAGCCCTAAACATCAGGATCTTAAAAATAATTTAATCATTGTATTCTGGTTTAGGAAAATGTTTGATTCCTTTTTTGTACTACATATTGTTAAAAGATATAAGGCAAAATCCAAAGTTCAAGCACCTTTATTAATGTACTTGTAACTGCAATTCTTATGTATGTCTCTGGAAATGCTAACTAAAGGTGATATTAAGGACATTGGCAAAGTTTCTGGTTTTCGTATAGGATTTTTCAAGATTTTTTGAACAGGTTTAATGGTACCAAACATATTCAATTCAGGTCCTTTTTACCCATCGAGCCAGCCTTCCTTTATAGATTTTGTCAAATCAATGTTTTTACAATTTTCAATGCATTTCCTATGTAAAATGTTGAAAAAATGGCCCTATATTATTTTCAACCATACGTTTTCTCCAAAACTCATGTATTTTATAAGGTTTATACATTAAATACATTGTTGAAACCTTATTTCCGATGACATGCATATACTTTGGCTGAAAATGAAAATATTGAAACAAAACACAGAAATACTAGCACTGTTTTTAATTTTGAGTTACTTCCCTTCACTTCTAATCAATATTCATTATGATCAAGAGACTGGTTGTTTGTTTCTATTCTATAATTTACTTCATTGGAAGCGAACTGTCATAAAACATTTTAAGAAAGATTTATAGTAACTTTTAATGGTGTCTCATTCACACAATCTATAGAATCGTTCTCATTCGGTCTACCTGGCTATCACCACTTTCAGCAAAATTAATTCACATCTTTGCACTTCCCAGCATTCAAGTACCTAAATTAAAATGACGGCCTGTTGACTGTCTGCCCCCTCAGCACAATGTAAACAAACCCACCGCTGCTTTTCTTTTATTACAGTAGAGTTGAATATATCCCATAAAAAACACACGTGCTTTTGTTTACTTCTCAGTCTGTAACCTATGCTTTATTGGTTTTCAGCGCCTAGAGAATTCCATACGGGAGATCACTCTCAATGACTTTTTTCATAAGTGAGAAAACCAATGTATAAACCTTTTTTCTCCGGAAACCCTGCGTTGCCAATGACCTTAATAATGTGATAAGAACTTCAATATTAAATTCTAGATACCTTTTGATGGTTTTGTAACCATTATTTCATAAAGTTTCCTGGTGCTTGTAATTATTTAACAGAATGAAATGCACTGAAATTTGTTTATTTTAATCAGTGGGGAATTTTTGTTTTCATTAATTCGGGTAACCTTTAAATGACTGCAGTGATGCATATACTTATAGTGTTTATATGAACTTTAAAGATTTTTTATGAAATTATGAAAGAAATGAATCCTAAATCTTCACCCCTGCAGGGCTCTACATTAACTTTTTTTCCTACTTGTCCATTCGGACAAGTGACAAAGAAATTTACTTGTCCGAACCTTAATTTCACTTGTCCGAAAAATTTCAATGAAGATTTTATTCAATTACTTTAAATAAAGTTGATTATATACTATATGTTCTTAATTTAATTGTGATCTAATTGAATAATACAACAAAGACATAAAACAAAATTTTATTAAGACTTCCTGTCCTGAAAACAACATAAAAGTGAATCTGTCAACATTGCATTAAAGTGCATAAACATTTATTCGCTGTCACTTTCGTCTGGGCCTCTAAAGTCAAAAGGATTAAATCCTGGTCGTTTAGCTCTCCCTGCATTCCACCACTTGTCTAGCACCCTAGTGCTGTTGAACTCTTCCAATGGACACCCTTCTATAGAGATAAACATGAGCATTCTCAGCATTGATGGCGTCAGTGAGCTTCTCCAGTCCGACTTGACACGCTTCATGCATGAGAATCCTCTTTCACAGGCTGCTGAGGAAATTGGAAACACCAAGAGGATCTCAACTAGCATAAGATAATTTTGAAATCTTTGTGACAAATCTGCTGCTTGGAAGTAATTTTCAATTGGTGTTGTGTTGTGACCATAAACATGGGCTTTGAAGGCCTTAAATTCATCTCCTACAACAGCAACATCACACTCTGCATTTTGTAGAATACCACCAAAATGCTGCATCAATAGATTAAGTTCTTCTATAGCAAAGAGAGCTAATCCCTCCCTAGTTTTTGGATACTCAGTGAGATCTAACAGTGTTGCAGCTGCTTTCAAGATGGGGTCCTTTTCCATTGGTGCAAACCTTTTATCAATTGCATCAATGAGAACATTGATTACTTCTTCTCTTTTTGCTCTGTAACTTTCTTGGGGGTTGACATTTTGCAAAGTAATGTTGTGATACACATCTCCATTAACCTCTCCAATAAATTTGCTTAACTCTTCACCATTTGTTTGTTTTAATTCAATGAGAGAGAAATGTAACACAGTGATTGCTTCTAAGAACTGAGAAAGAGTGGTGCTGTCCCTCTGTACTTTGAGACTTAGCACACTCAAGGTTTTGAGTACATCTAGCAAGAAGAAAGACATGTACAAGAATTGGTAGTCCTTCAACTTTTTGCTAATATTGGTTGCCCTCCCTTGGACCTCAGCATTTCCAATTCTTCCACCTCTAATGTGATCAAAATGAGTAATAATAACTGTAAAATTCTTCAGAAGGACTGCAAGTGCTTTCTGCACATGAGGTAGCCACCTTGTTCCATGTAAATTTGTTGGCTTTAAAACCTTTTCTTCTAAGGCATCTGCAATAATCCTCAATTCTCTTAGAGCCTTTGGTGAATAATGGTACTGTTTGTAGGTATTTGTCAAAATATCTTGAATATCCTTCATAATTTTTTGACTTTTAATTGCATTATTGGCAGCAAGCTCCAACCTGTGGGCAATACAGTGAACAATGACTAGATGGGGGACATCATTTTTCAGTAATGCAGCGACTCCACCCTTTGAGCCAAGATTTACGGAGGCCCCATCTGATCCAAACCCAACAAGATATGTTTTCCAGTTTTCTAATTCTGCCCTCTCAAATGATTGATCAATACAATTCAAAATTCCCTTAGCATCAGCATTTTGGATGTCTTCAATGCTTAGGTAGTGGTTTTCAGGAACCCCATTGTTTACAAACCTTACATATACAAGTTCGTTTTCTGTTACTGATGAATCTGTAGCACCATCAATCAGAATAGAAAAAAATTTCTTCCCTGCCATCTTCTGCACCGATCTTTCATACATTTCTTCATAGATGTACTTTACAAACCTGGTTAGATATGTTAACTATTGTGTTACAAAGCCAAAGAGAAAAGCAATTTTAAAGCTGAAATTTGCAATATTCAATAATCATGATAATAATTTATTTAAAAAAAAAAAACAAGCAAAGCCACACATAGGACTAGGCAATGTAATATTACTAGTCTAATACTAGAGTAGACTACCAATTATTTATAGTGAAGTATTATATTTAGATGAAATTATTAATCTGAGTGAACATGCATATGGATATGATAATATATTAAAGAATAGATGAATGATATATAATTAATTTTATTTTCAAGATAAGTTAGTAGGTCTACCTTCTGCAAGCATTGTCTGATCTATAAAATCCCCCAATATCAAGGCCATTTTTTTCTTGCAGTTTAATGAGGGTTGGGTATGATGTAAAGGGCATTTCCTCTATACATACAAAGTAAGCAGTATTGAATAGCTTTCTAATTTGCTCTTCAATATTACTGTCCATTTTTCTAACACATTCAACAATTGGGCCTACAAGATTGCTGCCTTGGGATTCTTCACGCTTCAATTTTACTGCCTGCCTTTCAGCACATTTTATATGTGCTTGACTTTTCCAGTGGGAAGTTAACGTGTCTTTCCTGAATGCATTTGTTCCAAGAAACATGGAACATGATTTATCAGCCGTAACTTCGTTGTCTCGGCAAGTTTCACAAAACATTTTAGCCTCAGGTTCGCCACCCTCTGCATCCTCACCTTCATAGACTAAACCTGGAAAGTCGTCTATCCATGATACCTGAAATTTTCGTTTACGTTTTTTTTCATAATCTTTTTTCTTTTCTTTACTTTCTTTTGTTTTTACATCTTTCTTGCCATGTGTAAATCCGAATTTCGTGAGATCCATGTTGCCTTGAAATCGAAAGTATTTGGCAATTAGTGAACTTCGATCCCGATCAAGTATAACTCGGTATCATTAAATCGCGGTTGATATCGGGATCGAAGTTCGTTTTTCGTGAGCTGCTTCCGTCTAAACCATCGATAAACTGTTTGCCTTTTTTTCGTTTTAATTATTATTTTGAGACTTTTTAAAAATTGATTTTATTGTTATACATAAAAAGCACTTGTCCAATCGGACAAGTGACCAGCAATATTCACTTGTCCGAATTTTTTTTTCACTGGTACCGGACAAGCGGACAAGCGTTAATGTCGAGCCCTGCCCTGTTGACTATCATAAAATCTTAGGGCAATCTTTTACCATAATATTTTTATAATACACTGAAAAAAAAAATCCCTTTGCCTCAGTTGTATTGATGAGTTAATTGTACCTCTGATAGCAGTGTACTGGGAAGGCTCAGATTGAGAAGAATTTTGTTCTCTTTACATCATAAAACTTAATATAAGTGTCCTGTTTAAAATTGCTTTAAACATAAAGATGTCGTCTTCTCTCATGTATAAACTATAATATGAATTCTACTTTAATTATATATGAATTTATGAAAAGTATATTCAACAGTGGCCTTTTGACTTGCAAAAAATGACTGAAATTTGGGAGATATAATAATAAGTTGATCATATTGGAGTTGGGAGGGATTTTGCATGATGAACCTATAAAAATTAAATTAGAAACAGAAATATATTTTGAGTGCTCATAGATATATAGATAAAGATAGACAAAGATTTTAGGTGTTATTTAGGGGGGGAGGGGGGCAGATTTTGTTAAGGTAGTATGCAGATATAGATTGTTTGGTGACTGTATTACAAGACCAGCAGAGAGTTGCATACGATAACAAGGTCTTGTATATTTCTACATTTTCATTGGTTTTCTGATGTACAGTAATTTTGTCAAAATTATAGAGAATAATATTGCTGGACCAAAATAAAGATTGAAGAAGAATACAAGATGAAAAATCTATGGCCTCTAAAATTTATGCATTATAAAATTCCTTGCATATGAATTTGAATATGAAGGGCAGATTTTATACTGTCACATATCTGTATAATATTGAATAAGATCCAGAATTCTTACTTGGTCTAAACTACCTGTGTTTGTCAGGAGAAAATTCTAAGCTGTAAATGTATACATGTACCTTAGAAATCAATATGATCATACCTTCTCAGGGAGAGGTGTTCTCGTAAAAAGTTAATTTAAAAGAATTGATTTTTCTAAATCACGATAAATATGGCACTGCTCTTTTGCATGGCATATTGAAACATGGAATATTATGTAACAATAATGATTTTTAAATAATCAATTGAAATGATTATCAACCAGCATGAAGTTGCATAATTTGATAAGAAGATGATTAAGAACACTTTTTGTTAAGTACAGTTGAACATCAAAACATGCCTGAAAAAAAAGATGAACTCTTAAACATGCTGTTCTTATTTCTGTTGGTAGATTTTAACTCAGTTTTACGTTCTACCTATACATGTACCTGTAGGTTCTTATGTGGTTAGTAAAAGGTTATGCAAGCGATACTACTTCAGTATGCTAGAGGTTCATGGTTAGATACTTCCTGATGCAGAATTGCTTAACCTCTAGCTTCCTTTGTTAAAATTTCTTGCAACTCAAACTGCCAAAATTAGAATGGATTATTTTAATGAAAAAATCTACAAGTGACATGCAACAATTGAGCACTTTGTATTTATACAATTAAATCTACAATTAAAACAATGTTTTCTCAAACTAAGGATCAATTCATTATTTTAAAGTCCAAGCAGAATTCATATTGTTATCTCAGAGGTTGATTATACAAGGTATAAAATAAATAAAGGAAATTTAACCAAAGTTTTTATGAGTAGAGCAAAAAATGATTCCTACATGAGGCATTGATAACTTTAAAATATATCTATAGTTTGATTCCCTGAGAAGTAATACTCATTAATACCAATGAAAACGTCTTTATAAATACATGTAAAGAAACCTTTTTTTGAGGGATGTTTCCAAAGTTCTTTTGCATCCAAATTAAAATAAACATTGTTTTTTATTTTATAAACTCGGCTAAGATCACAGGCAGCGGTGGCGTTTTTTCCCAAAACCCCTCCATTTTTAGGTTTCTTTTTGACGGCCCAGTTTTCCAAACCCCAAAAATGATGTCCAGAAAAAACGAAAAAACCCAAAAATGGGGGTGGTACCCTTTTTCTCTGTAAGTACAGAAATAAATCAGCTTCAGTCAGCACGGCATCCTATCCCCAGCCGAAAATAATAATTTCCCCCAAAAGGAAAAATTGTGCAAGGCCATTAAAATGTTTTGGGGGAAGGAAACCCCCCGTTTTACTGGTCCTAGAGAATTGTTTGCACTTTAAGTATTTTTGTCGATTTCAAAGAACATAGCAAATGAGATACAGAAAAAAAATTATTACATTATGTCCAATTGCCTTTGATTAACAAACTTGAAGAAAAAGCATTTTCCGTCATCAAAAAGATTTTTTATACCTCTATTTTATTTAATTTGATTGGCTGGTAAGAAAACTTTAAAAAACAACAATGACTCCAAATGGTACCCGTTTTTAAAAAAAGGACCTGGAACCCTTGCACGTGGGGTATATTGACCCGGTCATTTTAAATTAAAGACCCTTTAAAAATGACCTCTTTAAAAAAAATTCCTTTTTGAGTGAATTTAAAAAGCAAAAAATAATAATTATTCAGAAAACAAAATGTTTTTAAAATTGTGCATGGTCTGTTTTGCATTACCATACAGAATAGGAAAAATTTTTTGTTAAAATTTAAAAGGTTTACTCATTTCAAAATATCGTTTCAATTCAGCTCTGGAATGTAGAAGCGGCTCGTAAAGATTTTAAAATTTTTGTTAATTTTATTTAAATTTTTTATTTTTAAATAATGATTGGGTAGAGAAAAAGTAA